AGGTCCTGGGGAGTGTTGCTGAATAAACAGACCTTGGAGTGCAGGTTCATAGCTCCTTGAAAGTGGAGTCGCAGGTAGACAGGGTAGTGAAGGATGTGTTTGGTACACTGGCCTTTATTGGTCAGTGCGTTGAGTATAGGAGTTGGGAGGGTCATGTTGCAGCTGTACAGGACATTGGTTAGGCCACTTTTGGAATACTGTGTTCAATCCTGGTCTCCCTGCTATAGGAAGGATGTTGTGAAACTTGAAAGGCTTCAGAAAAGATTTACAAGGATGTTGCCAGGGTTGGAGGGTTTGAGCTACAGGGAGAGATTGAATAGGCGGGGGCTATTTTCCCTGGAGCGTCAGAGGCTGAGGGATGACCTTGTAGAGATTTATAAAATCATGAGGGGCATGGACAGGGTGAATAGTCTTGGCCTTTTTCCCCAGGGTGGGGGAGTCCAAAACTAGAGGGGCATAGGTTTAAGGTGAGAGGGGAATGATTTAAAAGGGACCTAAGGGGTAACTTTTTCACACAGAGGGTGGTGCGTGTATGGAACGAGCTGCCAGAAGAAGTGGGTGGAGGCTGGTACAATTACAACATTTAAAAGGCATCTGGATGGGTACATGAATAGGAAGGGTTTAGAGGGACATGGGCCAGATACTGGCAAATGGGACTGCATTAATAGGATATCGGCTCGGCATGGACGAGTTGGACCGAAAGGGTCTGTTTCTGTGCTGTACAGCTCTGTGACTCTATGACTATCTCATCCTTCACTCTCTGTCTAGCCTCTCTCTCACTGTTTCTCTTCCTCTCTCTGTTTCTCTGTATTTTCATTTGTCTCTCCCTCTTCTCTCTGACTCTCTGTCTCTACCTCCGTCCCTGTGTTCCACTTTCTAAGTCTCATTCTGTCTATTTCATGTACGATCTCACTTCTCCTTTCTCTATCTCCTGCTCGCTTCTCTCTTCAAACTTCTCTCCTTCTCTCACTTACATATCTCATCACAGTCTCTTGCGCTATCCTTCTCCTGCTCAATCTATCTTACCCTCGACTCCCAAAAGAAGCACGCACCCAGTACTGTCAGGTTGACCAGACGAATGAGACTCAGATGATTCAGCAGGGGATTTACCACCAG